CATGTTCAGACAATTAGGGTTGTTTTCTTAATGTAAAGCTTAGGATAGAAATAAAAAGGACGAGATTTTATATAAGTACCTATAAAAACATTTATTACCCATTATATTGAATTCAGTTGGAAAATTGATTTTATCTATTTTATTATCAAGTATTTGTATTTTTAAAGTTTTCTAATAAAGCATGCTTCACCACTGTGTAGATATAGATAGAGATCAGTGTACCTTATGTTTCTTTCAGCAGATCTGCTGATTTCTGTATATACATCCGGTTTAGGTGGAGATAACTGCCTATAATTTTAAAGTTAGAGATAATGTCTGTTAGGTAAGAAAACACTTCTTTGTTCAATTTAAATTTATAAGAAAACATTTAAGTTCAAAAGGATCAACGTGTGTTGGAACCGTACCACCACCTGAGGTAACAGACTTCAGCTTCGTTCTTTGGGTTGGCTAGAACTCAACTATCTCCTATTTGAAATTCTAAGGAGTCCAACATACTAATTTGCAATTTTGCCTATCTCTTTTCATATATTTTTAAACCACTGGATGTATCTAGAGATATTTGTTCGAAATATGTTCATGTTTATTTTTCTTTTTTGGTCTCCATTCACCAAAAAAGCATTCATACTTCTCTCTGATGGATAATGAAATAATATTTTTAAATGTTAAGAATCTTTTTATTAGGCATCAAAGGGATAATGTTTTTCTTAAAGACTTATACCATTTGAATGCTATCAAGAAATATATTTGCTCTGATGAGATGAAAAATATGTCTATGTTTAAAGTACACCCACCACATTGAGAATGGTCACATTGAACTGACAGAATTAAATTTTACTATGTTAGGTTCTGTCACAATTTATGACATAAGCCTTCGCTCCACTTTTTTTCTAAGTATCTGGTTGACCTACTTATACATTCTCGCTTGTTCTAAAGAAGCTATATTCAACTATTTTTCTTGTACTCCTGAGGACATGTGTTAATTACATGGGAAACACTTCCCTTTCATGTTCTTTCATTAAAATCATCTTGCTGTGATTAAAGTAATCAGAGTTTTAAAAACATGCAAGTTGTCCTAATTTTTATCCAGATCATTGGTGGAAGAAATTAGAGTAGTAAAAATGGATTATACCAATTCCTGTGAAATTTAACTTCTTTTGAATCTAAACAAGCTCACTGCTGTACAGTCATTGATTTTAGATTAGAATTTAAGCCGTACTAAGGCCAATTTATTTTAACCCCTTAAAAAATTCTTTTCGAATTATGATTTAATTGCTTAATTCTATAAAAGGAAAAATAACATAAGATAAAAAGCTTAAGAAGTTATTTTTGAGAGATAATTATAACCATTGTACAAATAAAAGTTATAATCTCATCTATATTTTTAATTAGTTCAGTGAAGAAATAGTCTCTTGACTCATTTAAAAAAATTATGCTCTTGTCCTAAGGACAAAATTTCAAAGATCCTGTGAAGTTTCACTGAATAAAATTCAGATTTGGAGTTTTAACCCCACAGGATGAACACCTAATGCTACACAGTCCTGCTGCTCAGTCAGCACTTTTTAGCTGAAATTATTTTCTTTCTAAAGAATACTTGTATAATTGTGTTACTACATGGTGTCGAAAAAATCACCATCAAAAAGCAAAAATACAGCTCAGTCAGCACTTTTTAGCTGAAATTATTTTCTTTCTAAAGAATACTTGTATAATTGTGTACTACATGGTGTCGAAAAAATCACCATCAAAAAGCAAAAATACAGTAGAATCAAAGGCAGGTAATCAAGCACATCTAATGTATTCAGTCTTCACTGAGATACCATTTTTCAATTTCACAATAATAATGGAAATGTGGAATGTACACTTGAAAAATGGTTCGAGATTATTAAACAGTTTAATAAGAACACATGGGAAGATTTTCAGATCTCTGAATTTGTTTCTAAGTATTAATTATAGAGTGACAGAGATTCAAAGAGGAAAAGCAAGTCTGTTTATCCTGATTCAGAGATTAGTTAATTAGGACATTTTTCAGAATTTGTGATAGTTTCAAGATAAATTATAAATTCCTTAGCTTAAAAAAAAATTAAACAACTTCCCAAAGGTATTTTTAACATAAGTGAGGATTTAAGAGGTAACACAAAGTTTCAGGAACATCTTTAACCAGAATATGCAGTTCTTAATGGGAAGCTTAACTAGGAGTAAATACAAGCCAAATATATATATCATTTATATGTTTATAGTTATATTAAAGTTATATGTATAGTTATATTATAGTTATATGTTTATAGTTATATTAACTATATAAAATATGTATGCCAAATACATATATATTTATATCTAAATATTAGGAACTAATGTATAAGAAATCTGAGCACACTTGCTGAATATTGTTCTGTTTCTATGTTAAGGTGAGAAAATAATAGAAAAATAATAGCCGTCGGTATTCAAAGGCAACATAAATACACATGTGTGGGCAAATAAAATTAGAAAAAGCTCTACGAGTGCTTCTTTAGTGAACGGGCACATAAAATATATCCATGCTTTGCACAAAGCAGGTCACAATATTTATTTTCATTTCCCTTGAACTTCTTTTTGGCAAGAAATTCTGGGTGCTGGGTCTTACCTATTATCGCGGCTCAGCTGGTTAGGAGAAGAAACAGGAGACCTGGGTTTTGGAGGTATTGGAGGGTGAAAGGCTTGTTCCCTTTAAAACAGAAAACAGCAATTCATTTCACTGTGGAAACATGGTAAATTTTAGCATCTATTAACCAAATGCATGTAGTACCTACATGAAGTATCGCTCACATCTTACAACCCCCAGGTATGAGGAGTCTGAAAGGTCAGAATCCATGAAGCACTAAACTTGAAAGTAGTCAAATATTTAAAGTATGGGCATTTTAAAAGTTCATTTAATCAGATTTTTGAAAACGCTATCCTCTTTAACCATAGTTTGAACTATAATATGTTCTTTAAATAGCTTAATATTTTGCTAGTATATCTAGCTCAAGTTGTGGCATTTTGAGTCTCATGAGCAAAGGAAACGGCTCTTGGGCATTAACATATAAGCTTCTTTAGGAATTATGTCAACTATCAGGCTGCTATGGAAGCAGCAAGAAAGGTTTTCATTTTCACAGACTTCAAGGTAAAGTTGATTTCAAGCTCATAACCAAATCTGACTTAAGTATTGTCAGCACAGGCCAATTTGATGCTAGCAAAGGACATATACAGAGATACAGACATACAGATGCACAAACTAGTATACATATGCTAGTGTGTGTGTGTGTGTGTGTGTGTGTAGTTAGCCTACAATTTTCAATGAAGCACCAAGGTAGTCTCTGAGCTGGCATTATTTAATTACCTAGGAACTAGAGATGGGCAATCATGTGCATATTTTGATGGAATAAGTACGAACCAAGGGAATGTTACTCTTCCATACTCCCACCACTACCATCCCAGTGGTTCTCTAATGTCCTCAAGATAAACTCTGTACCTAGCAAAGAACCCTGTGCTCTGGACTCCATGTGCCTTTCTGTAACATGCTAGGCAGGTGTGCACTCTGGAGTCAGGCTGCCTGGATTGTCAACTGTGTGATAATAGATTAACCTGATTCTGTTTCTTCATCTGCAATAATCTTTCTAATAGGATTGTTGGGTATTGTTAGCACTGAAAGAGATCATGCTTTTATTCAGCAAACATTTATGGTAGCTTTGTATGTGCAAGGAACTCTACGAGGTGGATAATACTCCTGTTCTCCAAATGCTTTAAATATACAAATAAATACATGTCAGAAAGAGGAAAGTGCTATACAGGAAAATGAAACAGAGTAAGGGGATATAGAAGGATGGGGTGGGGACACTATTTTATTTAGAATGGCCTGGGGAGGCCTCTTTGTAAGGTGACATTTGGTCCAAGACCAGAAGGAAGTAATAGAATGAGCCATGAGATATCTGGAGAATGCATGTATCCATATGGGCATCATCAGCTGAGAGATGATATTTAACACTTGAAACCAGATGAGATCACAAGGGAATCAGTGTAAGTAGAGAGGACAAGAGGGTCAAGAGTTGAGTCGCAGGGCCCTGCAATATTTAGAGGTCAAGAATATGAGAAGGAAACAGCAAAAGAGTCTGAGGAGGAGTGGCCAAGAAGAAAAGAAGAGAGACATCAGGATGTGGTGTCCTGGGAGCCACATGGGTACAGGGTTTTGAGAACGGAGTAATTGTCCATGCCATATGCTATGGAGAGATCAAATAAAACAAAGATTGGGAATTCACCATGGTTTGGGCAACGCAGTGGTCATTGCTCACTGTAAAAGCAGTTTTGATCGGGCAGTGGTGAAAGAAACATTGAAGGAATGAATTTAGGAGAAAACATGAAGCAAGGACATAGAGGCATTGATGTTGGTGTTCGGCAGTGAAGAGGGAAGAAATGGGTGGCTACATGGAGGTTGATGGGTCAGGGACAGTTGCTATAGCATGTAGACATGATGATGGGAATGTTCCAGTAAGTCATTGAAGCAGGAGAGTGAGGGGAAAGTTTCTACACAGGTGTCCTTGAGAAGTGGTGAGACCTAAGCACAAGTGGGGTGGTTGGTCTTAGATGGAAGCTTGGAGAGCTCACTCACAGCAGCAAGAGGGAAAGGGACGAGATGAGCATAGCTGAGGCATGTTAGTTGATTTGTCCTTTGTTTACTTCTATTTTCTCAGTAAAACAGGAATCAAGATCATTAATTCAAAGTGAGGAGGATGAGGAGTTAAAGGTGAGAGAAGGACAGAGAGAGAGGGAGAGAGAGAGAGAGAGAGAGAGATGGTCTTCTAGAAAAGCAGGAGAGTAAGCAGACCCAGGAAATATAATATGATGATAATAATAACCACACACCTTTATAGGAATTATTACATGCCAGGAACTTTTTAAAGCATTTTACATACATTAACTCATTTAATCTTCACTGTAATCCCAGAGATAAGTATCATTCTTCTTCCCATTTTACAGATGAAAAGACTGAGGTAGAGGTGGTGGAAACAACATGCCACAATGATACAGCTCATAAGGGGCAGAGAGGGCATCTGAACCAGGAAGCCTGGCTTCATAAGCCCTCTTCATGCTTGGGCAGCACCAATGGCTCAGTGGAGGTTAGCACTGTACTCATGAAATTAAAATAAGGCTATTTGCATTGTTTTCTCTTGCCATATTTACTGTTGTAGGGTCAGGAATAAAATAGAGAGTTGGATTTAACTAAGTTTGCAATTGAGCCAAGTGAGTGCAACAAAGAGAACGATGGCAAGGGAGCAGAGGGAGTATGCAAAGAAGGGATGACAGACTGCGAGGTCTAAGTGGACATGGAGAGAAATGAGCATGCGAAGGGCCAGGGGCTCTGCAAAAGATGGCAGAATCAGTGGACTGGTGATTGTGATGGGACTGAGGAACTGCGGGAATCAGAGGCCTGGAGGGAGTAAGCTGGATGGATAGAAAGCAGGAGCCAGAGAGGGAAAGCTGTGAAACTGAAATTTTGTAGGGTGTGTGGTTATTTACAAGGGCGAGGTCTCTGGGTGGCTGAGGTGGGGTGAAGGACAGGATCGTTGGAAAGGAAGTCAAGAAAGTGAGTGTCCAGGGTGGGGAAGAATCCTTTACATGGATTTTTAAATCAAGCGTTATGGGGTTGCTTGTGGAAGACAGTGAGCCTGCTGCAGAAATCTTCAAAGAATGAGGGGGAGTGACTCAGAGACCTCCAGATGACTCCAGTGAGGAAGTCACAGAGCTTGGTGGCCTGGCTTCAACGGCAATGGGGAGTTTTAGGGAAGGGGGTAGCTGAAAATTGACAGGTAGTGCCAATGAGGAGCAAATAAGACCCCTACCCTTCCTCAAGACCCTGCGGTACACGGGGTTAGGGAGGAAACAACCCTTCCTGAGAAGGAGGCTGTGGAAGCAGGGTCTTCTGGAAGAACCCAGCAAAAAGGTGAGAGATCATTCAGGGGAGGCTGAAGAGTAGAGAGTTTTGACAATATGGGATGACACATTCGGCGAGGCAGGGTGGACTGGTTTGAGAGGTTAGGATGACATGAGATTGGGTCAGGTTCAAGGACACACAGAGCTCTGTGCAGATGGTCCAGGTGATAAGAGATGACTGGGGTTGCTGTGGGGCTGCATTGACACAGGGAGGGAGGACACGATGGAATCAGTGCTGAAGACCCCGTGGCAGGGCATGGTGGCGAGGCTCTGGGGGTGCACAGTGGGGCAGTGGGGCACACATCATGATGGGAGTCTGGCTCTTGTGCTGAAGGTGGCACTGGAGGCAGAAGAAGGGCAGGCAAAGCACTAGACTGCCTGGCTCACGGGGAGTGCTCAGTAAGTGCCTTGCACTGTGGTGGGGGTTGTTTTTACCCCACAGGAACCCCTTGCTGCAGCTCTGCCAAACACTTACACTTCCTAACCGCCCCCCCATATCTTCTCTCCCCTCTGGAGTATCTCCTTCATCCTTTCACCTGGAAACCCCCCTTTCCCATCAGACTTTGGTCTAGGAATCACTGTCCCCAGTGGTACCCAAAGCTGTGCTGGCTATATCCCTACATTTCCTCATAGCAACCCTGTTCACAGCACGTATCACACTCATCTAGATTACGTGTAATATTGTATTTCCACACTGGACCGAAAGCTCCTAAAAGGATAGTTACATCCCAACTACTAGGATTGTGTATGACATAGGTTCCAATAAAGATGAGTTCAATGAAGTTGCTTGGTGGAGAGAGAAATGGATGCAAAAGAGGGGCCTGAAACTTTTAAAGTCTGTGAAAGCTTAGCAGTGTCACAGAAGTCCGTTGTAGGTTCCACTACTGAACGCCCACTGGGTGCCAGGTGCTAGCTGAGTTACTGTGTTGCATGATATTTCTGGAAGAACAATGCACGTGGAAATAGTCTCCCCATCCTGGCTTAGAGTCAGATTCTACAAGTAGAGATTATTTTGTCTGTATTGCCTCCGTCTTCTCAAAAAAAGTACCCTGGTACTTCAGTGTATCTGTGTGGATTAGCGGATCATGTGCTTTCCTTCTGGAGGTAGAAGAGAGAAGGAGGTGGTCAGTCAGGTAACGATGGGGCTGAACAGGGCGCTGGATAGCTGAGGACAGCTAGGAGAGAGGGAAGGAGATGGAAAGGATGAGTATCAAAAGTAGAAACGGGACGGTGTCAAGCTTTGCTCATGGCAGAATCATGGCAGTGAAATGCTAAATTTCTGTCATTTTAGAAGGTCTAAAGCCTCAAAGAGGTGGGTAAATAGTGGCTGCATGAGTCTGGGAAGCAGAGATAGGTAGAGAGGTAGAGCTGAGATGGCTAGGGAGCACTCGGAAAAGAAAAGCCAGCGGGTGCGCGGTTGTCAAGGTCAAGAAAAGCCTTCCAAGAGCGATGCGTTTACACCCTGCTGGGCCAGGGGCCAGGCGATGCCACCGCTGCCTTCAATTCACCTCAAAGGAGATTTCATTTGCATCTCTGCAATGACAGCTACAGATGACAGAGCCCAAGCCCTCTGGGCTGGGGGGCGGGGGGAATAAGAGAAGTCATTCACGCCGTGCCAGGAGCGTGATGAGATGTCAAGCAGGGGGATTAAAATGCGAGAGCCAGGAAGGAAGCTGTGGCCCAGGATGTTTTGAAGAGAAGGAAACGAGAGACATTTATTGGACTGATCTTGATTGAATTCCACTTTGAGACGCAATG